TCTCAGTAGTAGTGGTGGTGGTGATGGGTGGTTGTCTCAGTAGTGGTGGTGGTGATGGGTGGTTGTCTCAGTAGTGGTGGTGGTGATGGGTGGTTGTCTCAGTAGTGGTGGTGGTTGTCTCAGTAGTGGTGGTGGTGGTCTCAGTAGTGGTGGTGGTGGTGGTCTCAGTAGTGGTGGTGGTGGTGGTCTCAGTAGTGATGGTGGTGATGGGTGGTTGTCTCAGTAGTGGTGGTGGTGGTCTCAGTAGTGGTGGTGGTGATGGGTGGTTGTCTCAGTAGTGGTGGTGGTGGTCTCAGTAGTGGTGGTGGTGATCTCAGTAGTGGTGGTGGTGGTGGTCTCAGTAGTGGTGGTGGTGGTGGTCTCAGTAGTGGTGGTGGTCTCAGTAGTGGTGGTGGTGGTGGTCTCAGTAGTGGTGGTGGTGGTGGTCTCAGTAGTAGTGGTGGTGGTGATGGGTGGTTGTCTCAGTAGTGGTGGTGGTGGTCTCAGTAGTGGTGGTGGTGGTCTCAGTAGTGGTGGTGGTGATGTCAGTAGTGGTGGTGGTGGTGGTGATCTCAGTAGTGGTGGTGGTGGTGGTGATGTCAGTAGTGGTGGTGGTGGTGGTGATGTCAGTAGTGGTGGTGGTGGTGGTGTCAGTAGTGGTGGTGGTGGTGGTGATGTCAGTAGTGGTGGTGGTGGTGGTGTTCTCAGTAGTGGTGGTGGTGGTGGTCTCAGTAGTGGTGGTGGTGATGGGTGGTTGTCTCAGTAGTGGTGGTGGTGGTCTCAGTAGTGGTGGTGGTGATCTCAGTAGTGGTGGTGGTGATGTCAGTAGTGGTGGTGGTGGTGGTGATCTCAGTAGTGGTGGTGGTGGTGGTCTCAGTAGTGGTGGTGGTGATGGGTGGTTGTCTCAGTAGTGGTGGTGGTGATGGGTGGTTGTCTCAGTAGTGGTGGTGGTGATGGGTGGTTGTCTCAGTAGTGGTGGTGGTGATGGGTGGTTGTCTCAGTAGTGGTGGTGGTGATCTCAGTGGTGGT